TTTCTCTTTAATGTTTCGCTTCGAACGTTTTGTCATACATTGCCGGCTATGACTCCAAATGTTTCGTGCATAGAGAAAGCGAGAGTTCTGGACAACATCTTCGGACATTCGGTCCGTCGGGTTAAGGAATCATAAAACAATTAAACGGCTCCGCTTTGCTCTTTTATCTTTTTATACTATACTGAAAGAAATTAATGTTTGTTTTAACCTCGTAGAAAATTCCTAAAATTTTCCAAAAATATCTAAAGAAATTACAAAAAATTGGTAAAATCTATGCCAAAGACGCTGCAGGGATTATATGTAGATACAAAAAAACGCACACAAAATATTGATTACGATCTAAAACTTAAATAATTAAATATTTTCTACTGAATCTGTAAGTGTATAAATAATTTTATTGGTGTATGAAAGTAATTTATTTTAAAACAATTTTTACGTATTATTTATATAAAGAAAGTTATCGTAAAAAAATTGGTATACAAATACCTTTTGTATCCATTATAATTATAGCAGTGATTAAAGCTGATACAACAGCCATAATCGGTATATCTATTTTATAACTTGATTTTGAAATTTATAAGAATTCGTTTCTGATTTCTGATATTTAGTAGAAGTAACAATGTCTTTGATATTTTTAACTAATGTTTAGTGTTAACAATAAACGGTGCATTAGTTTTAAATTAATCCTCTTTTTACGAGTCTGATTTCTATGCGTTTTGGAATCGAACACCATGGTTTCCAAAGTTGAAATACCGTCCGTTAAATAATGCAACGTAGTCAAGCCACTTGCGTTATTTTTTAATGTATAAATTGTTACAAATAATAACAGGAAGAAAAGCCTGTAATGTTGTGACTCAATGACAAGCGTGGGAGAATCAGTGAAGAAGAAGTTACTCATACATAGTTAAAACAATTTTTATATATTCATCAAATAAAAACTGCAGAGAAAAGATAAATATACTTGTAATTTTAGTTAAAGTTAGCAACAACAGTTTTAAAATTCATCATTATTGTAAGTAATTGGATTTGGAACACGTTACTGCAAACAAGAAACGATTTAATTGTGAAATAGTAACAGTGAGTCCGCTAGGTCGCAAATGATATAAACGCGAGAATCAATACAAGTCGTCTTTTGATGACACCGTCCGTACATCTAGTCTTTCTTTTCGCAGGAAGAAATGAACATCCGCTGATCGCAGTTGTCATGACAACGCCATGCTCGAACAGCGCGTGAAGCCGAACATGTATCGGCATTGTTAAAGGGTGGCCAAAATTTTATACACCACATTATTATACTCAATTTTACAAATATTTTTATGTTCTCAAATATGCTCGAAGATATTATTCGACATATGATCAATTGTCATTTTATTATCGTATTTGGTTTCGCTGACAATTTTTCAAAACCGCTATTTTAACCGTTATTTCTCTAGAAAATGACAAAAATTTTACCGAGTCCATACTCAATATGTAACGACATTACGCATATCCAATCGAAATGATACTCCATAATACGATATAGACGTATGATACAAGTAGATAGCCAACATTATATGAGCTTTAGAATCTAACATTATCTTATATCTTCCAAACTGCTATTTTCGCAATTGGATTTTGTGAAGTTGGTTTTTTAATAAGTGCGTGAGTTGGCATGAGTGAGTAAGTTGGTAGGAGTGTGTAGGTTGGTAGGAGTGAGGAGTTTGGGATGCGTGAGGAGATTGGTAAGACTGTAACAAAAGAAGAAAGAAAAAGATGAGTGTGGTGTGAGAGCGTTGAATGAGTGAAAAATGGTTTATGTATCTTTTACAATTAATTAAAAATAGTTTTGGTTCAAAGAAATATTCAGAGAAATGTTAATTTCAAGTTTACCAATTCCCACAGAACCCCTGTACATATTTTATTTCGTGTATTTTTACATATTCGCATTTCCTTTAAACGTACATCTCACAAGGGAACATATCCAACTTCAACACGCCGATTTTTATGAAACTTATGTGAGATATAGTTCTCAAAAAAATATTTGACACGTATTTTTTTTTATCGGCAATCGTGCATATTGAAGGGGTGAAAATAGCCCTCGAAGTTGGGGGTGGAAATCATATTTTTGGGAA